CGTAAAAAGGCTTTTGTGGTTCAGCTGTCTAAAAATGCGGTTGTATTCTTTTTTGTGCCATCTATATCTGAGTCAGGATAATATTAGTGCTTTGACTTCCTGCTTTATGCTCAATGTTCCATTTCCTTTTTTGCTGCAATCTGCAGAGCACAAAAAAAAAAAACATGCATCAGACTCTCTGTCTGTCCCACAGACTGTAACGCATTGTCTCTTTCCTGCGATTGTCCTGACTTGCCACAGGACTCTGATACTATACACATGGAAGAATAAGCACAGGAGTCACAGTTCATACACAGGCAGAGAATAATTATCTGTCTTACCAGCAACGCTGAGCGAGAATTGAAAGAGGAAGTTCATCTCTGTGAGGAGGAAGTGAGGAGGTGAAGTCAGAAGGTTACAGAACCTGAATTGGAAACCCGTAAGAGAAATCTTGAAAGGTCTCTACTCCTACATGTCTGAAATGCATGCACATGTGCACATGTGTGACATAAAGTCAGGAGCACAAATCTCTGAAGAGCATGCGCCCCAGTGATTATCATCATGGAAAGCACAGAAACTAGAGAACCTGAACCTGAAGTGTGGTCCACTGAAGCTCGCTGAGAAAAATCACTTCTTCACCACACCTAACCTTTGTGCAGATAATCATTGAGGTTTTGCAAATGAAGCAGCATGAATGAGAAACTGACATTTCCTTTAGGTAGCACTGAAAGAGAGCGAGAGTGAATGAACCTCTATTTCAGACACACATGACTGAATTGGTTTGCCCACGCAAAGCCAAAAATAGAGCGCTGGTGGTCGACCAAGTCAAACACGAGAGGAAACCGGACAGTTTCATGTGTGTCTCGTGTCAGAAAGCACTAACTTCTTGTCAGATGCCCACGACAGGAGTGTGTCATATGCTGCGCATCGCGAAAGTTGAAACAGAATGAGGAAATGATGCTCAAAGTCGTTTTTATATTAAGAGGCGCAGCTCACAGGTGTCAAGTTTTCACAAGACCAAAAAAACCGCAGCCATGTTTGACATAAAAATGGCATTTGCACAGATCTTAACATTTGAAGCTATAGCCTGACAATACTGTTGTTATTAATTTATTCAGTAGAGTAACTACATCATTAAGAGGCTATTGGGATTCCTGACCTGATGAATCTCCCGGATGAAGTTTCCTCTGATTACATCAAAGCTGCACTATCAATAGTGTCATTAGCTATGCATCAGTAAATCTTTTGGCTCATTATTTTCCTTTTAGAGCTTCACTTGATGCAGTTGAGTCAGTTCACAAGCTTCAGCACTAACACAGAGTAGAGACCATATGTAGACCTTTGTATATTGTGTTTTGTGCGTTTTAGCAAATTAGGTAAACTTTAAGTACTAATACATGGAGGTGGTGAGATAATCTGTAACCACAACTGTCCACAATCACACAGTTTTATGCAATTTGCAGATAGCCAAGCAATTGACTAATAATGAAGTGGACAGATATTTCAGAAGCAATGAGCTAGGCTAGCAGCTTCAGTCTGGAAGGCCTTGTTCAGCAGCTCCTGGGCCTTTGAGAATAGATGACAAGTGGATGGGGAATGAAAACAAGAACTAACTGGTGTGTAGGGTAGGAAAGACTTTATATCATAGTTTGAAATCTAAAAAAATTAACAAGACAAGGGAAGCACCACAGTAGGGAATCCAACAAAGACTACAGACACAACAGGACCGTTTATACAAAGAAGGGTAATCAGGGAAAGAAATACGAGGGTCATGGCAAAGCATAATCAGGGACATTGCATAAAAAGTAAAAGCTTTTTTGTCTTATTTTGGTAGTTCATTGTTCACACTGTCTTGTGTTTTCTTCCCTCCCTGCTCTGATTATCTTAATATGACCCCCTGTGTGCCTTTATCGCCAGCCGTTCCCACTTCCCTCGTTACCCAGAACCCAAAAGGATCACAAGCCCCTGGAACAATCATAAATGCAACTAGAAATAAAACCCATCCACCCATTAAATAAGAATACACAATTCTAAATTAGGCACAGAACCCAGGGACTACATCAATTTGAGGTTACTATACCGAAAAGTATCCTGACTTTGTTGTGTCCTAACTGCAAACATGCTAGCTGTGCGCTAGCTAACTAGCTAAACTATGGATGGATGGATTTCTGTTTTGTTTCTCAGACATCAGGGACAGATGTTTTCCTCTCCTCAGTTTTTCTCTCATCTTTGGAAAGTTAGGATAATGTGAGTGCAGTTTCATTTCTTTTTGCTGGTTTGTGTTCTGTCGTACAGGGACAGAGAAAAACCATTACAGTGAGCTATGTATATATTATCTATTACATATTTTTATGATTCATTTGGTTGCACATTTGCGTATCATAGGGCACTGCCCTGTTGGCCAAGCACCTACTGCCCTTCAATATGAAGCCTTTTGGAAAGGAGTTTTTTTTCCTTCTCTCTTTCCACAGAAGCACGTGTTTGTGAAAAAACAAGTTTCAGTGCCTCTTGTTGTTGGGCTGGTCCTTTTCTCTTTCCGAAACTAAACTCTGACGTGACCTTTGACTAAAGAGGACGAGCAGGAGGCCTTGGTGGGAAGAAGACAGTCACGCAGTGTTGAGAATAGACAGTGAAAAGAACAGGAAGGCTGTGACTGACATGATAATAGTTAATATAGTATGTGTGAGTTTGTGTGTTTGTGTAGACATGCAGTAAGTAACACATAGACCTCAAAGCTGCAGATAAAACTGTCTGGCCAGAGACAGACTCGTGTGTCTAGAAATGGTGCAAACACACCCACACACATACAACTGGTGTCATGTCTGGTAGAGTAAAGCCTCTATATGTTTCTGCTGTTGATCATTCACAGCATCTTAACTTCGATGCTTTTGGTGTCACATAACCTGCAGCAGAGTGCTCACTCTTGAACTTGTCATTTTTCTCCATTTTTCAGTGAGAAAGACAGAAGTTGATCTGAAACTGTGAAGTGAAGTCTGATAAAGCCTTTCAGTATGAGGCTACCACACACACACATACAAGACACAACAATGTACACAACAAGGGACAAATGGTGGAATCCATGCAGATGCAAATAACACCCTGATACACATCAGTATCAAGTTGTTCATACGTGTTCGTGCACCTTGCCCGTTGCAGATGTGTGAAAGGTCAAACAGATGAAGAGCAAAGTGTGAAGAACAAAAATGAAGAGGAGGTGACAGAAAGAGCGGGGTGCTTTCTGTAACGTCGAAATAAGATCTGAATCTTAGCTGGTGATAACGGATAAATCCATCAGTTTGTTGTTGAGCATATGTTGGCGGGATACATGCAGATTTAGTTGTGATAGCCTAGCCCTCTTCTGCATACCTGTTAAGAGGCAGTTTAGCTTTACAGCTTGTCGTGGAGTTCATTGCGAGGCTGCTCTGCAACTGCTTCACACTTTATGAAATGCACATGACCAAAACAGGCTTAATAGCCCAGCACATAAAAACCTGTAAAACCACAAGCTGATATTTTAGCACACTGCTTTTTGAACACATTGAGCATTTAAGTGCGTCACTGGGTGAGCTTCAAAAGTGACGGTAGCTCAAAGTTGTTAACTGGCTGCTGGTTGAAGCAGCATTTGAAAGGGAGATATATGCATGAAATTGTGCTTTCATGCATAAGATACACGTCTATGCAAGAAAGCTGATATACAAGTACAGTGCTAACCCTAATCCTCCATTTTTTGTATTTTGCTTATAGATTTTTTTAATTAAGTGGTCTTGAACAATAGTTCTCCAGGCTTTCTGAAGGTCTGGACATTTGTACCTGACATTTTCAGAGGTTTTTTTCTGTTTGTTTTTTTCTGTTAATGATTGACCTGAGAATCAGTAAAGCATAAAAAGTACAGCTAATGATTTGCCATGATTTGGGGCTAAAATTCGGCCAGTGGTGTTGGAGATCTCATAAAAACTGGAAATATGAATACACAAAAGTACAATCAGATATTCATCCATCGTGCAATACCATCTGGAAAGTGTAGGATTAAAAAAGGCTTCATTGACAGCATGCATGACAGTAATTACACCACCAGTGCAGTAAAAGTATTCAGCAGTGGAGCACTATCATTCATTAGATGGCTTTCCCCCAAATTTCTGCACCAATTTTCCATTTTCATGGCAAAATATAAAAAGGGTGGCTCAAGACTTTTGAGATACGACAGCATGGCTGACATCTCCATAGGGCCAAGGCCATGTGACATATGGGTCACCTGCTCAACCCAGTGAGCTATACCAGCCTAAGTCTATCAACTTGCACTGAATTTATGTTGATTATCTTCACTAACTTTAAATAGCCTAAATACTAATAATATAGTAGCTCTTTTCCAGTTTTACTGACCAAAACGCTTAAACAGACACATTCATTGAGGACTTTTAGTGCTACACTATTGTGCAGAGCTTTTCCCTTTACACATTGTGTTGCTTTCCATCTGTATTAGTTTTCCCACCGTATAGATTTATCGTCAGGCAACATAAAGCGATACTAAACTATACTAATTAGCCAGTCTGTTGCCAGCTGCAGCACTTATCCGTGATTGGCCAGATGCCGCTAACACCATCCTTTTCCTGTGAACACACAGGGGAAACTCTGAGTTGATTTAGTGAGTCGATAACCAGCTTTGTGTAACTGCTGAATCCCTGAATGAATCCAGATAACGGATGGATATCCTGCATTTATTGAAGTTGTTTCAAAGTACCGGGCCCGGATGTTTGGATTGCGCATTTATCCAGGAGACGCTCATAACTCTGTGCTCAGTAACACTGATGTTGTTGTTGTTGTTGTTGTTGTTATTATACTGAAACAGAGAAAACGGAGAAAGGTGGTCTTTGTTTAGGCGTAACTGAAAGGATTAGCTCGGATTACATGAAAAAGTCCAGTGTCTTCTCTTTTAAACAAAGAATGAATGAATACATAGTGTAACTGGATGTTTTTAATCTGGTCACACTAACATCTTCACATTTCTTTGCTTACCACATAATCGTTCGCATTTAGCTCCGGGGACTTTTTATGCGACTGTTTTTAAAAATGATCTCTCACTGACAATAACATGAAAGAAATAAAATGTCTGTCACTTTATTACCCAAGACACTGCAAAGAGAGAAAAACAAAACTTTTTATGTCACTCGTGGTCTACACATTTACACAGACAAAAAAAATTAAATCACAGTTCCTGTTTTGGTAAATGACACGGTTGCCTGAGTATCAAAGTATTTCAAAAAAGTAAAAAGAGTCAGTTGCGCGTGTAAAATGCTAAACTGAACAGCTGAAATGTGCAAAACTGTAGCTTTTTTTAAAGCTCGAACAAGTGGAGTCACATGAGATAAAGAACGCATTGAAACCGAACTCAGCATAAAAGTTTGTGCAGTTTGCTTTATGGCCAGAATTTGGGCAAAGTCTTCTCTGGAAACAGACACTGTAAATGTGTAAACAGCTTGTTTTGGATATTCCAAAGAGGAAGTGCTGAACCGAATAAAAGAAAATGTTGACTGCATGAAAACAGTGCCGTAATGTGTGCGTGTGTGTGTTGTGCCCTTTCCCCAGCATTTTTTTTCTCGCAATTGGTTCACTGAGAGTTTAATGAGAAAGACAGAAGCTCACTGCCGCTCTTGTACTTTGTTTTTCTTCCCTCGTTCTGTCTGAAAGAAGAAGAAGTGTTAGAGAAGTTGGGAAATTTACTTTCAATATGTAATCCAATTACTCCAGCAGCGTGAGAGAATAAAAAAAAGAGGGATAAAGAGGGATGATGGGGATAAATAGCAGCAGTGGCTGCAAAAAGAACAGCCTGTACCTGTTTGCAAGCCAACCAGACACAACTTGGCTCATCCCAGCCAGCATTCATCATGTCAGCGTTTCTTTTTTCCCCCCTGTCTTTAAATCTCTTTGTCCCGACTGTTTTGTCACCCTCAGCTCAGAAACCCTCACATCTTCCCATTCCCATCTCGTGTGCCCACCGTCCTCTTACGGTATCTCTCAGGAGTTAAAATGCACAGCGTGTCTGACACAAACCAGCCACCGTTTTAACTGTCACCAGAGCAACCGGACAACAGAATTAAAGCAGAGATGGAGAAAGGAAGGAAGAAAGTAAGAAAGGACGTCTTTGTGCTTCTCTTACGTTTTTTTTTTTTTAGGCTGGGCTTTAATGGTGTGATTAAGTGGCTGGAAACCGACAGAAACAACAAAAACAGAGCGTGGCAGCAGGAGAGAAGCGGAGGATGAGGTCAGACTGCTTCGCTGTCCTGTTTTGGTCCAGAACAGAAAAGTCTTTTAAGCGTCTGATTGGCTCCTGGCAGGACAACGAGAGCGGGGTGGTAATTGAGAAACTTGTTTAAAGAAGTGACTTTGAAGAAATCGTTTAAATTTGTAGAGCCACTTTTATTATTAGTTATATTTACAGACAGCACAGCTTTTTTGGACACATACACACACATACTTATTACACTGCGGAGGACTGATTAGTTTCATATTTAGTTTGTGAAAACACAGAAATATACAGGATTTTACCAAATATTAAACTTGTGCAGGAAGTTGTGATTTAATGGCCACGAGATTGTTTCAGTGATTCTGAAGCCGTCTTAACAGTTCCACTTTTCAGGCTTCACTAAACCAGCTGCTATTTTTTGTCCTTTTTAAACAGCGGCTCTTCCAGTGCGACCACATCTCATATTAGTGTCCTGGCCTGAAAAAAGCCATCTTCCCATTTTGGTGAGATTTGAGAGAATATATCAGCCCGGAAAACATAAACAGACAATGACTGGTTCCTTTTGGTGTGTCCCTCGTCTCACTGTCAAACAATGACTTGTGTCCGTCACGCATTTCAGAGAAACGGAGAAAGCAGCAGTGCAAAAAAACATGTTCTTCGGTCACTTCGCAGCTACAGCGGTTGAGAAAAGAAGAGCCAAGCCACTCTCCCAGCATCTTCAAGTCAAGCCCGTAAGCAGAGACTCTTGTTGGCACATCCATTCGGCTCCTTTATGTGTGCGTGTGCGTGTGTTCGTTCAAATGAAGTGGCTGGCTTTGCCCACACTGCGGCTTGGGTACGCCAATTATGGGTTTGACCAGGCAAACACTCACTCTCTCTTTCTGGAACACACACAAGCGCAGGGTGGCCCTGCTATAGCTGCACAGCATGTTTCAAAAAATACAGCCATGTTGTGGTTTTCTCGTGGCTGTGAGCTAATCCGCTGTCTCAAATCATTATTCCAGTCTGCCGCCGGAAGAAATGCGAAATGCACTCAGTCCTTTGGAAAAGCCCGCAGGCACTGACCAAAAATGTGTCTTTCAGCGTCATCTTACCTCTTTGAAAAAAGCGATTCGTGTCAAATATCTCCCAGGTTGTCATAAATGATGTCGGGTGCTCTCAGCCGTGCTTGTTGGTGCTGGCTGTACCACATAGTAGTAGCTGGAGCCTTCGATTTTGATACTTTGCTGTACACCACTTTCCCCCTGTCTCCACTATCACCACCACCCCAAATGTTGTTGTTGTTGTTCACATTATTGGCGGGACCTCCATGTTTTCCAGGGGGCAGAGGAACCGGCTCCTTACGAGCAAAACCACCCCTGCCTGGCTTGGGAGCGGTAAGGGGCTTGGGGAACCGCGGCGTCGGAGGCTGTGGCGTGCCACGGCCCTGGCCAAACTGGGGAGGGGATTGTCTCTGAGGCTGCTTCCCCTCCTGTCCTGACGGGGTCACCGTCTCCTCTTGTCTCCTCTGGCTGTGAGGCTCCGCGTGAGCTTTGTCATAAAAAAGCATTCCTAAGCTAGCGGGTATGCTTCCTTTTGCACAACCCTCTGGTTCGTCATATATGTGCTCCTGGGAAGAGGCGGGAGGTGACGGAGCTCCTTCTGCGTTACCTCCTGGGGGTCGCCTGCTATTGTTCACCGCCCGTCCTCCCCCTCGTCCTTTCCCTACACCCCCGTTCAGACTCAGTGCGTTCAGATCCATAGTGATCTGATCGTACACATGCGAGTACAGATCTGGGTGCTTCCTGTGGTTACTGCCTGACGGGTGATCCCCTTGGACGCCCGCTCCCACAGAATCGTCGCCTACTGGTCGTTGGCGTGGAGTGGGCACTGGAGCGGTGGCTGTGGATGGGCTGCTGGTTTGGTTCTGACCCTTGATGCTGTCCACCGGGTCAGAATAGAGACAATCAGCGCTTTGCAGAGGCAAACGGACTGAATCAGCTGGTTCAGAATAAAGGCCTGTGCTTTCATCAGCTAAGCACACACCTTTGCCCACATGTCCTTTGGGAGACCGCGGAGGTGTCCCTGCACCTCCCAACACCCCCAACATCCCTGGAGGCTCTGGTAAACTCCTCCCTTTAAGTCCCGTTCCACCTCCTTGCACCCTTCCTCCGTCTCCTCCGTCTCTCTTTCCAAGCACGCCGTCAGCCGAGCCTGGTTTGCTCCCGCCCGAATCCCCGTCGGCCTCGCGACTGCTGCAGCTGCTGCTGTCGCCGCTTCCCGTCGCCATGCTGGCAGAAATGGTATTGCGGAGATGTTGAAGCGATGCTGGGCAGTCTGATTCAGAGTTCAAAGGGCTGCTGAGGCGGCGCTCTTCAGCTAGAGCTTTCTGTGACTGGATCGCCTGGTCGACCAGTATGAAGATCTCGTTCCCTTGTTTGGTCTCAAAGGTGAAGGTGCCAGGGCCTGAGTCGCACCGTCGGCCCGCCTCGAATGAAAACATGACCTGGAAAAAGAAAAAAAAAAAGGTTAATTTAGAGTTAAGTGTGTCTGTTACAGAAGGGATTGAACAAATTTCAAAATGAAACAGAAGCAACAGAAGTCCCAGCACTTCCTTTTTCCAGTGAACTTCGCTTCATTTTCAAGTTTTCTGATTAGATCTGAATAATAAATTTACTTCCAAATTCTAACTGAGGCAGAAAGTTGAAAGTCATTATCTGTTTCCCTTCCAACCTGCACCAGCGATGGCATCAATACCTAAACATAAACATCATGAGTAGACAAAGTAAACAGCCTCTTTTAAAGGTCATCTGCTAATTTTAAGTCCTGATCTTGAGCTTTCAAGCATCTAAGTGACACAAAACAACCACAGAGTCCAACCTTAAATATATTTGGTGACGCTGAGGCTCAAACCACATGTATACGCGCTGTCATTGTTTTCACTTCCTACGTATAATCAGTCGTG